TCTATCTATCTATCTATCTATCTATCTATCTATCTATCTATCTATCTGTGAGGACTGCTTGCCCATTAAGAGCACTTACCCACTTAACCTTATCTCCAGCCCCTACCCTGGAGGTTTAATTTTGTTGTTCTAATTATTTATTTATTTATTTATTTATTTATTTATTTATTTATTTAGAGACAGGCTCTCTCAGCAGCCTGGAGTTTGTGGACTGGGCAAGCAGACCAGTGCATCTCAGGGTTCTAGGGTCCCTCTCGGGTTCACCTCCCTGGCATTGGGATTCCAGGCATGCAGCACTGGGCCTGGGTTTTTGTAGGTGCTGGGGATCTGAACTCAGATTCTCATGCTTTCAGGGCAAGCACTTTACCCACTGAGCCATCTTCCCAGCCTTGCCCGCACACTCAGCAATGCCATGGGGTTGTGGCATGCCACATTGAATGTGTGCAACCTCCACCGTAAGCACTGAATGCCACTGGATCTGATTTTAGTCTTGGTGAAAGGGCTCCATGGTGTCATAGCATTTTCTGCCCTTCTTCCTACTTTTCAGCTCTTACATTTACAACAAGGTTCTTTTGACAGTGTTTTGTCTCATTTTGTTTTGAATAGCCCAGACCAACGGACCTCCGATGCTCCTACTTCTACCACTCAAGTGCTGGCATCTCCAGTGTGTGCCATGTCCAGTTTATGTAGTGCTAGAGGTGGGACTTCATGAAAGTAAGCACATAGCCAACTGAGCTTTAGCCCCGGCACTTTACACTTTGACTTTAAAGCAGTACATACCACAAGCAAGCCTGGCAGTCAACAACTGTACTGTCTTTGCTATGTGACTATGGGCAGGTTGCACACCCTCTCTGAGCCTTAGGAACATAATGGTGTATGTAGGGCAGCTATCTTCTGCCTAACAGCATCTTAAACCGATTCTGCCATTAGAGGACGAGGCCAAAGGCATCCCATCCTGGGGAGCTAGATGAGTTGAGGCCCTAGAAGCAAGACTTTGACTCCTATTTGTACGCAAAGCACATATTAGGTGCTCGGTATCCCACTGACTGATAGTGGGGGAGTTTAGCCTTACTCAGGCAATTGAAGTGCCGGAGTGTGAACCATCTGTCTACAACCACATTGTGACACTGGGACACTGAACCTTGTGTCCCAGTTGCTCCACTGTTTGGTGACTCGGGCTTATGAGGGAGTTGGCTTCTAACAGTCAGAGTATCGAAGCCTCATCCCCCGACTGTCTTTCTGACCTGAGAAGTCTTGCCCCTTGGACACAACTTTCTATGGTATACCATAGCTTTCGCTGACCATCTAGCTTAACCACAAATCCTGGGCTTCTCTGCTCAGCCACATTAGATCGCAAGAATTATTAAACAAGCATTGTATCAGTCAGTGGCTATACTGTATTTTTCATACAGATTGAGTCAAATTTCTGCTCACTCCATTTGTAAAGAAGTAAACCAAGTCATCCACCCAGGAAGAAGCTTGGTTCAGGCCCAGGTCTAAACCCATAGGGCCTAGACTCATCTCAAGAGCTGATCAGGGCCCATATGTTTCTTGATTTTGTCCATACTGTTGCCTTTGTTTGCCAACTGGGCTCTCTTGTGGTTCATTCTTGTGGTCCAAGGTAGTCTCTTTCAAGAAGCCTTTGCTATTTAGTACCCACAGCTAGTTCCTGATACAAAGGGACAAACAGATACCACACACACACACACACACACACACACACGCACACACACACGCACACACACAGACACACACACATGCACACATGCACATGTAATCCACATATAAAAACAAACTCACTTGAACTTGGAATCTGTCCTTGTCCTTCTGGTATATGTGGACCACTTGGAGAAGGTAGCTGGGGCCAGTGTGGTGTAGATATTAGTCGTCTGTGAGCAGTTCATTAATGGCTGCTATTTTTATAGACCTAATTATGGGCTCCCCGCCTGGGCAACCACAGCACACACAAGGCCTTTTTTGGTGCTCCCCAGAACCTGGGGAAGTCCGGGCTATTATTACCTTTATTTCTCAGGTAAGCAAACTGTTGGAAAGTCAGCGATGCCAATCAGCACTCTTGAAATGCAGAAGGAAGGAAGTGGCACAGCCTAGATCCGAACCAAAGCTGTGGTGGACTGAATCTCTGTGTGGGGAGAGAGAGAAGAGAGATAGAAAGTGGGATGATCGTGGGGAAAGACAGAGAGGAGGGAGAGAGAGGAGAGGGGAAGGAAGAAGAGAGGGAGGGAGAGAAAGGAATGTATAAGAAAGACATGAGAGCTAATGAAAGAGGGAGATAGAGAGGAGTAGGGGAGGAGAGAGAGAGAGAGAGAGAGAGAGAGAGAGAGAGAGAGGGAGGATATGAGAAGAGAGGATAAAGGGTGTGTGAGAGAGAAATACAAGAGTGACAGAGAATGAGAAAAAGGAGAGAGACAGAGGGAGAGAGGAAAGAGGGAGAGAGGAGTGTGTGAGACAGATGTGAGCAAAGAGAAAGAGGACAGGGAGGGGGAGAGGGGAG